AGACACTCATATTCGTAAGTTATTTTTTTTGTCAAGTACTTTCCTGATTTTTTTATGTATTGAGATAAGATAAAAGGTATCATTTAATTTAATTTTTGACAAAACTGCCCCGTAACAAACTATTTTGAGTAAACCTGAGATCTTCCAGTTTAAAATGCGAGAATCTATATATTTGTTAAAGATGAATCTAGATAAATCATTTCCTGTGGGTCTTAAAAATATGAGAACCTAACTAACTTTCTTTAGCAAGCAAACACATGTTGCATTCTTTAGTACAAGTTTTTTTTTAATTGAAGTGTGTAGGTTAGTGTGTAGGTTAGTTTGGTGAAACCTCTTTTGTGTTTTAAAGATTAATTTAAAACCTTTAACATATCTTAGGACCTTCTTATCATTAGTTAAGTTAGCTCACATGTTTTACAAATTTATTCAGTCGACCAGCAATCTCTCTTACCTTTATTTCCTTCATTAATAGCTCCTTCTTCTCTCTCTGTTTTTCTGAATACTTGTTGGTTCGTCCTTTGGGTTTTGTATTTCTCCTGCTCTTTCTCTGGCCTGGTTTTCTTCAGGCGCTATTTAGGAGTAGGCGCCTAAAGTTTAAAGACTGATTGAAATTATTGTTTGCTTTTAGTTGGTGCCTTTAAATTAAATGTATGCTAGTTTTTTCAAATGCTTTGTCTGACTTCCATATCTCTACAAGATTCTTTTCAAAATGAAACACCATCGATATCTGCTTTTTCTATCATATTTTTTACATTTGTGTTTAAAGACGGATATATAAGGTTCCTACGATGCATATTGTAACGGAGGAAATTACAAATTCGTTAAACTTTCCTGGTTTAAAATAAAGAGATTCAATAAGTTTTAGGGATGATCAAAGTTACAAATCTACCATCGAAAATAACAGAATGTTTATGATAATTTTACTCTTATATAAAAAACACCCTGTATATCAAACAGGAAACACTTCTGTCAGCCATAATTAATAATTTTTGACGTGTGTGCCAACACAAAAAAGTTATACAATAAAATTCAAGATTAATAAAAAATTGGAAACTAATCTATTAAAAAATTGTAAGAAATTATTTACATTTGATTCTCGAAATATTTGAAAACATATTTTAAATATATTCTCCTAAAATTCATCAACTTGTGATTTATTTAAGTCTCCTATTGGTCAAAATTTCTTTAATAGATAACTTGATGAAAGATTTGAATCTAATTTTGGTTACCAAGGGGTTTTGTTGAAAAAACAAAAGGAGGTGAATTGAATTTCCAAAGGGAAACTACGTTTCTTTTTTCTTTGTCCTGAAACATTTTGAATTTTTTTTATCTATTTCAGCAAATATACACACAGAATCAACCTTAAAAGTAAGAATAAGTTGTAATTAGATGTCTGAAATAAAATTTAATCTAAACAAAGTGAAACGCGAGTTTTAAATCGAAAAGTAAGAAAAAAATACCTATGTATGTAAGTCTAAGAAAATAAAACCATGGCAACCGATGAGTGACGTAGCAGCTCCTGGCGACGTTCGTGATTTGTATCCCATCCAAGGAGGGCGCTCACACATAAACCCCCAGATAGATCAACATAACATAAAATAAAGAATCAATGATATCAAGAAGCTTTCACGGTCAAGAACTCTACCGAAAACAATTAAAAAGTGTAAGACAATTATTAAACTGCTTAAACTAAAAACTAAACAATTACTTACCATTTATTTTAATTTCTTTTCTTTGTTTCACATTAATTGTTTAAAAAAATATCTGTTAGCGGCCAGCGTCAATGTTTACATTTAAATAATTTGCAACCCAATGAACAGTAGCGCAGAGCAAACTTTGCCTTTTCGCGCCCTCTTCAACACTAGACCAAAAGCTTGCAAATTATTTACGTAGTAATCTTTTTAATTTATCTAGTAATTTTTTGAATGAGTGTGTTTTAGGAATGATAGATGGTGGTAGGTATTTAATAATTATGAATTTTTACGTTATTGATATTTCTCTCAATAGTTATTGGTTTACAATAAAAATGTGTTTAAATGTTTTTTTTTTGTTAATTCTGTTTAATTTTTTTAAATAGATAAATAAATGAAAGGTAAATTCAAATTTAATAATATATTTTTTTTAAATAATTAAATTTATAAATAATAAATTATATTTTTCCATCACATACACAGTGGTGCCGGGCAATTATAAAATAAAAAAATAATTCGTAAAACATTCTGTTATTTGCGATAGTAAATTAATGATTGGGGTTGTGTAAAAATTAATAATATAAAATTTATCCACATACACATACACCCTATATCAATATATTCTATGGTAGATGTCTGATAATACTTTTGTTACATTTGCATTTGTTTTGATGCGTCTAGTTCTGTTCCCTTCAAGCCTAGCTTACAGAGGTTCAGCTAAACGTTCCATCACCTTTCAAGTTGGTCATGCAGCATATATAAACAGCTGTCGGTTTTATTTGATGACGCGACTAGTAATTAAACTTTTTGGTTCGAAGTTTTAGGTGGGGGACCCAAGTGAAAGTATTCCAGATTTTGATTTCACTAAGAAACTTTGATATTTTGCCATTCTCCAAACCGTCTTGCAAATATGTTACCAACTTTTTACCATTTCTTCGTTGATTGGTTTTCCGAGAGAGATGTTGCTATTAGGATCTGCTCCAAGAAAATCCTGATACTGAAGTTAATCTTTACTATTCGAACGTCTGTTCTGGTAAAGATGACGAGTTTACAGTTCATCAAATTTCTAGAGGTGTTCGACGCCCAGACAGAGAACGCGCTACGTGTGACTAAGATAGCTACTGTACAGTTTGCTAAACAAGTTATTTTAAATAGTTTTTAATATTTTTAGGTAATTAAATTTTAAAAGTGTGGAATAGTTCAGGGATTCAATTGGTCTGATTGGACTTTCTTAGAACGTTTTTAGAAGCAGCTAAAGATATTATGTAGAATTAAAAATAATTATTATGCCATAAAAGGTGTTTTGGAATTCCTTCAACCTTTTGAAATTGAGTCAGAAAATATAAATTTTATAGGATAGCGGAAAATACCTATAAATTTTTTGTAGGCCTTTGTAAATCGTGGAAATAGTTTATATTTTATTTCTACCTTATTAAGGAAAATGGCACCTATTATTAATAACGGTTGTTTCTGAAACATTACTAAAATTTTCGAAATTTTGTTTTTCTACAAAATAATAAACTATACTATTTAGAAAAAAATTGATTTCTCTTATAATTTTATAAAAAATAACAGGGGAATATTTACATTTCTTGATCTATTAAACAAAACGATAAATTATCTCGACGAATGACACCATGTTCTAGTACGGAAGCTAGCTTTACATTTTTGTTGGTGGTTTCATGGGTTTCATATCAATTTTTTGTAATTGTAGTTTACACGTACATATACCTCTTAACACTTGTTTGCTTTATTAAAAAAGTGTGTTGTTGTGATGTACGTCGAAATAAGTCAAAAACAACTTGAAACCCCATATAAAATCAAAAAGGAGAAACGGAAAAAAATTTAGCCTGTAAATGAACACAACTCAGAAACAAAAATAGCTATCTAATAATAAAAAAATAAAATTTGATTTTTGTGCAGCTTCATCTATATCATTAACTGTTTTTGGTTTTTTAATGGTTTTTCTTGGTGATGAAAATTCCGATATCTCACGGTTATCGATTCTTTTTTTCTCTCCAGAAATGCGGACGACAGTGTTTTTAGATACTCCTGTGGCTGCAGCAACACGATCATTTACATTTTTAAATGGTATTGAAGGTGAATTAAAGTTTCCTTCTCTTCTCATAAACTCTATAACATTGGCTATTATTTCGCGAGATTGACTGTTAATCACGCGGCCTCTTAATTTGCTATTAAACTCCATACTTAGGTTCTATTAAACTGTAATGAGCAAAAAACACAAACGAAAATAAAAGAAATGTTTTAGCGAAATTTACATCTGACATTTACGTCTGAATGAAATAGTGAAATACTTGATGCGCAGAGTGTACTTTCATTGCGTAAATCCGTCGGGATGCCTGTCAGTAGTGCTTTCTCTGTCTAGCCGTCGAAAGCCTCTAGAAATGAACTGTAATGTATATGCATCTTAGATTCTGATTCTGAATCAACTTAAATCTATATTTAATCAATGGCTAATTCATGTGCACATAAAGGGGAATTTTTCTTAAAGGTGCAGGATTTACCCATACAGTAATATAATCAATAAGCTTTGCGTAGCATTTTTGCATCCTTGCAATTTATAAGCTGTAATGTGATACTTGTTATTTTATCTATTTTTTATAGTGTTTTAAGCTCAAACGATTTTGGGAGTAGGTCGGGTTATTAATACAATACATTTGAATAAGCTTCAGTACGTCAGTACAACATTTTTTATGTATCAGTACATTTTACGATTCCACGCTACATTTTACATGTGTCTGCTTCTTTGCTGCGCATGACCGTTTCTAACCACAGAGATTAGGAAGGTGGCAGGTTTGTTCATTGTGTCAATGTGTAAAAAGAATAAGAGAAGGATTATAGATGTCAGCTGTCAAACGTTAATGTTGTTTTTTGGTTCTTTCGTTCGCTGTTGGTGCAATTCTGAGGAAAACGAATCGAAAAATAAGGAACCTACTAATAGCAAGGTTTGTAGTAACAGGTACATGTTTAAATATATTTTTAAATACATATACTCTTATTTTTTTAGAAAAAGAGAAAATTAAAAGTACAATATGTCCAAAAGTGTCGTCTGGCATATATTGAAAAATTTAAATGGATAATTGATAAAGATGGGTGTAGTTTTTGTAAATATTGTAAGAAAGTAGTAGTTGGTGGTTATTCACATTTATCAAGGCATGAAAATAGTTTAATGCACAAAAAGAAAGAAAGGGCTGTAAAAAATTGTATTGACATAAAACAGTATCAAACCAAAATTTACGAAAAAAACGATTAGCCAGAAAAATAAAAGAATGTGAATTAAAACTTATAATGCTGTTAATTGAACACAATTTGCCGATGATTTTAATGGATCACCTTCCTAAGTTGTTAATATCAGCTGCCCCTGATTCACAAATTTTAAAAACTGTTACTTGCTTTAAAACCAAGACAACCAGTCTACTTAAAAATTTCCAGGCAGATAGTGAAAGAAGCATTTCATGTATTTTAAAAGAAAATAAATTTTCTGTCATAATAGATGAAACTACTGATGTTTATGTAAAGAAATATTTAGCTATTCTTGTTAAATACACCGATTTAGATCTACAAAAAGTTAGGGATCGATTGCTTGCTTTGGTTGAAGTCAATGATTTAACGGCAGAAGGAATTTTAGAACAAATTTTGGCAGTCATTAAAAATTTATGTATACCAATACCAAATCTAATAGGATTTGCAGCTGACAATGCAGCCGTTATGATGGGCAAATACAATGGGGTGCAAGCTAAGTTGCGAGAAATAAACCCCAATATTTTTGTCATGGGCTGTATCTGTCATTCTCTACACTTATGTGCATCAGCTGCTGCTGAGAAATTGCCGAAACAGATTTAATATTTTGTAAGGGACATCTACAATTATTTAAATTGTAGCAGTAAACGCATTGAAGACTTTTAAGACCCAGCCAGACAAGGTGGTTATCATTAAAAGTGAGTTTTAGAGTATTAACTATTGTCCATAATTTACTTACATAATTACTATTTATTTCAGGCTGTAGTAAAGCGTACCCTTGAACAATGGCCAGCTCTTGTCTTGTATTTTAATGCAGCCATCCTAGAAGACAACTTGGTTGCAGCATCTACCATTCATAATGCTTTAAACAATATTGTTTACAAATTATATATAACTTTTCTTGCCTACATCTTGCCACTTATTACAAAACTAAATCTAGAATTTCAAGCTGAAAAACCACAAATTCACAATATTTATTATAGAATTCAAACAATAACCAAAACTATATTTAAAAACTTCATCAAGAATGAATATGTGGATAGAAGAACAATTTTAAATTGTAACTAATTGGCTCTAGGAGAGTATAAGCCTATTGAACATATATACTTGGGTGCAAATGTGGCAATATTGCTTAGAACAGAAAAGTTGGATGACCATGATATTCACAATTTTAAATTAAAATGTTTATCATATTATATAGAACTTTGTTCTCAAATAAAAAAACGATTTCAGAATTTAGATTTATATAAAAAATTCCAGTGCCTAAATCCAAAGAATGTTGTAAATGGTAATACAAGCATTATTGATTTGTTGTTGCAATTTCCTAGTATTTGTAATAATAAGACAGAAGAAATAAGTAGTGAATTCACTGAAATATGTAATCTTCCAGAATCTGTTAAAATTGAAATTTCAGAGCTTGATGTTGAATCATTTTGGTTCAAATTATTTAACTTGAGAAATGCTGTTAATGACAATTGCTTTAAAAATGTTTGTTTATTTGTTTTTAACATCCTTGCCCTTTCACATAGCAGTGTCTGTGCAGAAATAATTTTTTCCAATTTAAATAACATTAAAACAAAAAATAAAAATCGTTTACTTGTTACTACCACTAATTCTATATTATTGGGCAAAGAAGTTTTGGACAAAAAACAATGTTTTGAATGGACACCGTCCGAATTTTTAATAAATAAAAAAGTTGAATATTAAAAAGGTTGTTATAATTTGGTAAGGAGTAAGAAATTAAATTCCCTAGACCTGGGGACCTATTTTTAAAGTATTTGAGCACTCATTTCTCTCAAGAATATCATCAGAAATGTCATACGTTAATATGGAAATGGCCTCGAGGATCAAAATTCTTAGGAGAATTTTAATTCTCTCTAAATAAACCGAGAGAAACAGCCAGTGAGTTCACACTGGCCCTATGGGTCCTAAAAATTCTATTTTACGTTGACTGACTTATGACATTTCTCTTGAGATAAAAAATAGCCCCTCTGATGAGTTGCCAACTCTAATCGTGAAAAGCGATAGTCGTGCCCCAGAAAACACCAAAAAGCTCTACTCGCTATTAACTAGCAGGAGAGCAACTGCAAGACTCTGTATGGTAGTGAATTCAAATGCAAAATTTAAATTTACCGCCAAAATCCTAAATTTACATAGGCAAATTGGCGGGATTTTTAAATTATCTAAATAAAGAACAATTATTCAACCCTCAAAAAATTGACATTTGGCAACCATGGACCTGACACAAAACGTTTAAAGCACAGCACGTCACCAACTCAATACTTTTATTCTTTCATAAGATCTGTGTTCATATTTCCATTTTTTCTTATTTCATTAGTACATTTATCATTTGATCAGTACATTTTTCCCTACTTGGTCAGTACTTTTTTACTTTCCTATCTGTATACAGATATAAGGAAAGTGTGTGTAACTCATGAACCGATACACAGAAAAACACCAAATTTTAAACTTAAGCTTTGTTTTAGCGTCCAATGAGCTGATAAGATTTTGGGCAGAGTCGGAACATCTGGGGGGGTACTTTATAGGTGGTCATTTTTATATTTTATGGAATATATCTGTTTTTTACGTTTGGAGAAGAAAATTCTTCAAATAAAAGTTACTTCTAATATAATTATCTATTTTTGTTTTATGCAAAATTTTCCTAAAATGGTCCGTATTCGAGAAATTTGACAAAATGTAAAAAAAATAATTTTTTATAAAAATTGTTTAAATAAAAGTTGTTTGAAATATAATTCCCTATAATTTTTATGCCATACATAATTTCTCTAAAATGGACCGTACATGAGATATTTAAGAAAATGTGTAAATTTCGAAATTTGAAGAAAACTCAAAAACGGATAAAGAAAAAAACATTAAATTTTAAACTTAGGTTTTATTTCGGCCTGACGTGAAATGATTAGATTTTGGACAAAGTCGGAACATCTGGGGGGATACTTTATGGGGGGCCGTATTTATGTCTGGAGAAAAAAATTGTTCAATTAAAAGTTATTTCTAATATTATAATCTATAATATTTGCTTAATGTCAAAATTTCCTGAAATGGTCCGTATTTGAGAAATTTGACAAAAGTGCAAAATTCTGATTTTTATGAAAATTGTTGAAATAAAAGTTGTTTACGATATCGATCTCTATGACTTTTGTTTATACATGATTTTTCTAAAATGGACCGTAATGGAAAAATTGTAGGAAAAGTGCTAAATTTAAATTTTTCAGTATTTTCATTTTCAATGAACATCTATAGAAAAATGTTTCGAGGTAGATGTATGTGGAAAATGTATATATTTATTTTATCCTCTAAACATTTATGGAGGTGCTGCAATAGGTTGTACAAAATAACCGGAAAAAGCCTGTAATAACTAGATAGGAAAGTCATGTGTTGGACACATCAGATTTTTTTTCAAGTCTCTGGCAACGCTGCACTGCTAGCCTTTCGAAGCAAGTATTTACAAATATGAGCGCCACCAATATATCCGATATCAAGGAACCCTTTCAAGACAGCGGATCTGAATATGTGGTAGAGAAAGAGAAAGAATTGTCTTCTAGCAGTCCTCGCGAAGAACATATTTAAATTAAGTCCCGAAAAACAATTAAAAACATAAAGGTTATATATTTTTTACAATTAGTCAAGGACAGAGCAAAATAGACAAAACAGCAGTATGCACTTTGTGTACAAGAAAATCAACAATAATTAAAATGCCAAATGCTAGAAAGACATTTACAAAGTAAACCTAAGGATTCTTATGAAAAGGCCTTTCCGCAGGAGCAAAAATTTAATCAAAATCCAAATAGTGCTAGTGTTATAAGCTTGTACTGATACAGAAATATATGTTAATAAATAAAGATCGATAATGATAAGATTTTATTCCTAAATTATCTCTTCTTTTTAGGATTCTCTTTGTATTTAACACACATCCTAAGAATTTCCTTATAGAATATTATATGGATTATCTAGTAGTTAGTTTAAATAAATTTTGTATATTATTGTAAACAGTTAATGTAAATATTCAACAGCTTGAAAGCTTGGAAAAGCTTGAAAGCTTGGCTTGAAAAAGCTTGGTAGTTTAAGCTTTTTTTTTATAAAAAGCATGACTTGACTTTAAAAAAAATGTTAAGCTTGGCTTGGTATTTTCAAATGCTTGGCTTGATTTGCAAACCAAGCCTGTGAATCTCTGTTTTTCGCGGTGCAGTTAGCCGAGTTTGTAGTTTATAAGTATAAGATTAGAGTGAACACATAAAGTAGCCTTCTCTGTATATTTATTTGATTTAAATGCAACACTTACACATAAAATAGTATCTTCTTGTAACCTAACAAATGAACTCGGTGATTCCAACAAAATTTTAAACTTAAAAAAAATTATTAAAGTATTAACTACAATTAAAAATGTTGTCTACTACGGTTACACAAGTTTCGGCTATTCCGGTGTCAACCTTCGGGCCTTCGACGTCGCTCAGACGGCAGCTAGGGGGTGGATAGCTTACAAGAATTCCGGAAATAGTAGACAAATGAGTAGGCGCCAACTGGGTCTATATAGTGGCCAAACCATGATCCTATTTCCCCAAAAACCCAGTAAATGAGGAAATAAATAAAAGACAAACCTCAAATTATGTTCCTTTATAAAGAAAAAAAAAAAGGAAAAAAATATTTACTAAATATATCAACTTTAAATTTTCAACAATTTATTATGAGTTCGACAAACTACTAAAACTAATTAATTACCTAATGGCTTTAGATAATCCAAAAAAATAAGTTGGAGGAAATTAAAGGGAAAGTTTACACCATATATGTATATGCATAACCCAAAATAAATTATTAAATGTATCAAAATATGGCACGGTTCGTCGTTAGCTTGGTACCAGGCATGACGCTTGCGCAAAATATTAATTTCCACCTTACATAAAATATAAAATAATAGTTAACTTAAATCTTGTGCATAACCGCACCTATACTACATCATATATTGTAAACTAAACAGTAAACTTATAATCCTTATAAGCTTATAACCCTCTCCAAATTGGAAGGCGATATCTGCTTAACCCAAAAGAAAATTATTAAACCATGAAATTTTATAATTAAGTATAATTCATAGAACTAAATAAAATATAAAAAAAATATATATAATGAACACATAAAGGACTTTAGACACAGAGGTTATTTACTTAAACTCCCAGGTTGGAAGAGGTTACTTAATCTCTGCCCCCACACGGGTCTTCTGAGATTGCTTAACTTATATGTTGTCTTATCATAAAAAAAAAAATAAATAAAATGTAAAAATGAAAGATAAGGTTAAATTTGACTGTAGCTCTTAATAACTGAAGGTTTACAACTTAAGCGTAGAAGCAGTCCAGATGTTCTGCAACTAGAAGAATCACTACTCCAGCATTAAGTGGTTATAAAAAAAAGAATAAATGAAAAATACACAAAGGACTTCAGACACCGTTGATATACTTTAAAGCTCCCATAAATAGGAAGAGGTTGTTAAATCTCTGCCCCCACACGGGTCTTCTGAGATCGCTGAACTTGATCGGTAAGTCTGGTCCATTTAATAATGAATAAATTGAAAAAGTAAAATTATGACGGTAGCC